TTGTAATTTTATTCGTTCTTTTATTTCAGTGAGGCTATGAGTTTTAGATGCGAATTCAATCCAAATTGTGCCTTACAGAGAAGTTTCAGAAGATAATTCTTTCATGTTTGCCGCTTCGCTGACTATGTCAGGGATCGAGCTGCTCGGTCAGCTTGCAGGGGTCTAGGGGGCAGCGCCCCTTGGCGGGTCCGGAGTAATGCCCAGGCAGGGTCGAGAGGCAGCGCCCCGAAGCAAAATATAGAAATGCATTCGAAGTTGCTTGTTCACTCGAGCGGCCATTTGTGCGCTCGAGCGGAGAATGTTTGGTTCTAGAAGTTTGACCTCTCTACAAAAGTATTGGAAATTAGGATTTTACGCTCGAGCGAACTTTCCTGTGCTTAAGTGAGGTTCGCTCGAGCAGAGATCGCGGATCAGTTTTCTATAAATATGTCGTTTCATCCGTTTTTAGGGTTACGATTTCCAGATATTCTTTTTGGGTATTAGGGTTTATATCTGGAGCTTCTTTGCTAGTTTTCTTTGATGTTTGTTTTGAGTTGAACTCATGATTTGAGAAGTATACATCAAAGGATTGTTCATTTTATTCAATACAAAGTGAAAGTTGTTCTTCGGTGGTTTTTAGGGAATTCGAGCCTGGAGCTTTGGTGGATTCTAGAGTGGCTCATCGTCATGGATTCGACATCGGCATTGTGTGATTCAACGTTGGGCAAAGCAAATCCAAGGAGAAGACGGGGTTGGAAAGAGGTATATAGGGGTTGGTTCGATTCGGGCATGGATTTGCTAGGTAATTGAGAGTACACTTGTATAATTCTTTTATGCCTTCTTAGTGGATTGTTTTGTGGCTTCTGCCCGTGGTTTTTTTTTATCACAAATGGAGACACTCCAATTGTGATTTTTTCACGTAAAATCGTTATGTCAATTTGTCTTGATTGTCCAAGGAGAAGACGGGGTTGGAAGAGGTATATAGGGGTTGGTTCGATTCGGGCATGGATTTGCTAGGTAATTGAGAGTACACTTGTATAATTCTTTTATGCCTTCTTAGTGGATTGTTTTGTGGCTTCTGCCCGTGGTTTTTTTTTATCACAAATGGAGACACTCCAATTGTGATTTTTTCACGTAAAATCGTTATGTCAATTTGTCTTGATTGTTTGATTGGGATTGTTATTTATTGCTTAAAATTGATACATAATCACAAATCAACGTCTAGCAAGAAATTGTTCATGTCCCTCTTCACCTTGATCTTCGTTGCCACTTTCATCTTTATCAGTTTCTGATTCATCATCCTAAGTGATAGCGATGGCTTTTTTATTCCTCAAACGAGTAGGGTATTCTTGAGCAAAGTGGCCAAATCCTTGGCACTCATAGCATTGGACTTTTTCAGAGTTCCCTTGTATCTTTCCTTTCCTTTTCTGGGTTATAGAATTAATTTTGGATTTATCTTTGCCTTTGGATTTATGAGTTGACTCCAAAAGATTAGAATTCTTTTTCAGAAAAGACTTTTTAAATTTTTTTACGAAAGCAACCGTAATCTTGGAGTCAATCTCACAATCCTCATTAGAATCCTTTCCAACTGTATGAGCACTACTCAAAGCAATATCGTCTTTTTGTTTCTTTTTGAAATTTCTATATGCCTCATAAGTTTGGAGATTTCCAACCAGATGATTTAGTTTGAGGTTGTCAACATCTTGAGCCTCCTCAATAGCCGTAACTTTTGGTTGGAAACCGATCGGGCAAGGGCCTCAAAAGTTTTCCCACAACCTTGGATTCAGGTATTTTTTTCACCTAAATTGAAGCTGAAATTTACAATGTCACTCAACTTTGCATAAAATTCATCAAGGGTCTCACTATTTTTCATTGAAAGGTTTTCGAAACTAGATGTGAGCCTTTGAAGTTTTAAGCGTTTAATCGAAGGAGTGCCCTCATAAATAGTTTGTAAGATATCCCAAGCCTCTTTTGCGACTTCACAATTGCAAATACGACTAAACTCGTCAGGTGTGATGGCACAAAAGAGAGAATTGATAACTATATTATTCCAACAACTATTTTGGTAATCAATTGTGTCCCACTTATCAATTGGTTAGGGAAAAGTTACTCCATCAATGGTAATCGTTAGTTCGGTCCACCCATACATGACAGATTGCCAAACTTTTTCATCAATAGATTTTAAAAATGATCTCATCCGAGCTTTCCAAAATGAATAATTGGATCCGTCAAGTAGGGGTGGTTGAACCATAGAATTTCTTTCATGAATTGAATCCATTATCACAAATCAAACAAGATCTCGCTCTAAAAGATTTTTTTAAAAAATAGAGCAACCTGCTCAATACCAATTGAAAAATCTAGAAATCTCTTAGATGTTGATTTGTGATTATGTATCAATTTTAAGCAGTAAATAACAATCCCAATCAAACAAATCAAGACAAATTGACACAACGATTTTACATGAAAAAACCACAATTAGAGGTTGAACCATAGAATTTCTTTCACGAATTGAATCCATTATCACAAATCAAACAAGATCTCGCTCTAAAAGATTTTTAAAAAAAATAGAGCAACCTGCTCAATACCAATTGAAAAATCTAGAAATCTCTTAGATGTTGATTTGTGATTATGTATCAATTTTAAGCAGTAAATAACAATCCCAATCAAACAAATCAAGACAAATTGACACAACGATTTTACATGAAAAAACCACAATTAGAGCGCCTCAAATTGTGATTTTTTCACGTAAAATCATTGTGTCAATTTGTCTTGATTGTTTGATTGGGATTGTTATTTACTACTTAAAATTGATACATAATCACAAATCAACATCTAGGGGATTTCTAGATTTTCCAGGTACTGTTTGACGGTTTCCTGCGGACGAAATATCCATAAAAGGTTCTACCGGTTTAAGAATTCTTCCTTGTTTTCTATTGTAAAGAGCATGACTTTGAGAATTTTAATATAGACTAAGCATGTCATTGTTTTTGGAAAGAAAATGTAAAACATTTTGGTCATGAGCATTGCAGATGCATTTTATCCTTATATTTTTGTTAAGATTCATATATTGTATTGGATTATTTCTACTGGGCTTTGGCTTATCCTATATGGGAAAACTATTTTTAGGTGTTGGTGAGATGCCTCCACCAAAGACTTAGCTTGGGAGGACGGTGGAGCTGAAGGTTCAGTTTTGTTATTTTGTATTTAATGTTTCCACAAGCCTAGGGCTTTATATGTATTGAGCTTAAGACTCACTTTTAATGTAACCAAGCATTGTTTTGGAAAGTTGTAGCCTTCAGGGCATTTCCATTATCTGTTTAACTTCTACTTCTTATTTTGATTATTTAAGTCTTAAGACTTGTAATTTTATTTTCGATTTCCGTAAAATTGGAGAAGAGTGGTGCTTTTTTTTTTTTTTTTTTTTTTTTTTTTTTAAAGATGTTTTTTTTTTTTTTTTTTTTTTTTCATTTTCTTGATATTCTTTAGTTTTTTTTAGTGTAGTATCTTACCTTTCTATGTATAAATCTATGAAGGTGCCTTCAACTCCGAACTTTTGTTTAATTGGTTGTTCAATTTTTGAATATTGATTAAATTTATCTAGCGGATACAAATAGTTTCTACAACAAAAGTAACCTATGGTGACGAAAACTAGTAAAGAAAATAAATTTCGTTACTAAATAAGAATAATTCGTCACGAATTATGAAATTTTGTCACATATAATAAAAAAATAAAAATAATAGGTGACGAAATTTATTTTCATCAACAAATATTTCTTTTTAAGTGAAAAATAATTAAGTTTTGTCATCGAAGGTTTTCCCGCTATTTTTTTTTTTGGTGGCGCCAAAATTTTGAGACTTTTGATGAGAAAAAAATTTGTCACTAATTATAAAATTATTAGTAAGGAATATATTTTCGTCACCAATAATTTTGTATATATGTTTTTTGAGAAATTTGATTTTAAATATTTTAAGACCATTTGGTGAGAAATATATTTTTGTCACTAATAATTTTTAATATTTTGAGATTTTTAGAGAGAAAATTATTTTGTCATTAATTTTAGAGGAAAAATTTTGACATATTGGGCGGTAATGAAAAAAAATAGACTACTAATTTTTTTCCCCTTTTTATTTTTGTGTATCAGTTTTCCTCCCTCCCTTCTCTCTCTCTCTCTCTCTCTCTCTCGCTCTCTCTCTAAACAAAACACACGTTAATTTTCTCTCTAAGTAACATATGGTGACAAAAAGCAATGAAGAAAATAAATTTTATCATTAAATAAGAATAATCCGTGATGAATTATAAAATTTTATCACACATAATAAAAAAGTAAAAATAATAGGTGACAAAATTTATTTTTGTCAATAAATACTTCTTTTTAGGTGAAGAAAAATTAAATTTCGTCACCAAATGTTTTCCCTCTAATTTTTTTGGGCGACGCCAAAATTTTGAGACTTTTAGTAAGAAAAAAATCTGTCACCAATTATAAAATTATAAGTGAGGAATATATTTTCGTCACCGATAATTTTAAATATTTTTTTTTGAAAAATTTAATTTTAAATATTTTGAAACTATTTGATAAGAAATATATTTTTATCGTCAATAATTTTAAAATTTTAAAATTTTTAGTGACAAAATTATTTTATCACAAATTTGAAGGAAGAACTTTGAGATTTTGCCGTAATGAAAAAAAAAACTCTACTAATTCCTCCCTTTTTTTTGGTGCTTCAATTTTCCTCCCATCCACTACTATAAAAATGCTTATAGATCATACTTAAAAAAATAAAATATAACACTTTTAATGAAAGTGTGATTAAAAAAATTAAATTAATATTTTAATCACACCTAATCTAATTAAGTGTGATAATATTTATTTTTTATGTCACTTTTTAATTAAATGTGATTATATCATATGTTTTTTTAATCACACTTTTTAATTAAGGTGTAATTATATATATATTTTAAAATTTATTTTTTTTTATATCTAATATTACCACATTTTTATTACGAACCATCCTTATTTTGAACTTGAGGGAAATCCTCTCTCGCTCTCTCTCTCTATCTAAACCCTAATCTCTCTCAACCGATCTCTCTCTAAGCCCTAATCTCTCTCAATCGATCAATTACAACGATCTGAAATTATTTGAATTTCTAGTCCTAATCTCTCTCAACCGATCGATTGCAACGATCTGAATTTCTGGTGCGAAGCAGAGGTCTTGCAGTGCCTCCTCGAAGCTTCTCACTGTAACGATCTAAAAACTACGTTTGATTGCATCTCCGATCTGTTCATCGATGTCAACTTCGTGGGTGCTGTGTGCTTGAAGGTTTGAAAGGCTCTTACATCTGGGATTGCAGGCTATACTGCAGCCTCTTTCTATTGCCAACTGGAAGGAATAAATTGGGTATGTGGCCTTGGATTCTACTTCTACTTTTTATTATGATTTTGTGTAGATTTATTGCCTAGACTCGCGAGTTCCTGTCTCCAAGTTTTGGAGACTTTGTATAGCCTCATTTCTTGTAGTTGTTTCTTGTTTCAGTACCTTTATAATATATTGGCTTTAAGGTTGTTGGTTCTTAAGGATTCTACTTGAATATGGAGAATAGGAAAAAAAAAATTGTTCTTTACCATTTGAATATATAGAACCTGTTCTATTTGGAATTGAAGAATTAGAGAACTAGGGCTTTCATGAAATAAAAGTGCTCCCTTCTGTTCTGCCATTTGAAAATATTGTATTCTTATAATGTATGTGCTTACATTGTGTTTTTTGACCAATCAAGTGGTTGATGTTTTTCTCTTTCACACACACCTGCAGAGAGTTTGGATTTTTGTATGGGTGTATCTGAGAGAGAAATAGAGGGAGAGAGAGTTTGATATCTTGAAAAATGAAAATTTTATTGTAAAACACTTTTGTACAACTTCAGTTGGTACCATGGAAAAACTTATAAAAAATGGTTAGTAGGGAAATCTACTTTTGCATTGGAGCTTACATAACATAGATAATTGCTCTTGTCTAGTCAAGAATGATGTAAATTTTTTTTGTAGGTTTCTTTTTAACGTTACCTGGGACGATGAAAGTAGAGTAGCCATTCTTACTGATTTTTAAAAATGAGGTCTGGCTACTTCATGTTGGAGTGAATAATATGAAATTCATTACATACATATTTTGTTTTGCTAGTAATAAACTCAAATTGTCGGAAATGATCAAAAATTCAATTCTCATTTTTTCTTTTGGAAGTTGTTTTGAAATGGGACAACTATAACATATTTTTCACCCAATCTATGTGGTGCATGATGGCAATACCATCACGATGATCAGAGAGATGTAGACAATCGAGATTTCTGCTATTTTTTGATTTTCCCTTGTTCTACTTTTTGCATATCAAATGCTAATCTAATTTTCAATCCCTGACTTCGCAGGTGAGAAATTTGTTATTGATTGGAAGCCTATTTTGTGGACCTCTGTTTCTCACATTCTACTTCCTCAACACTGTTGCAATTTTTTACAGTGCCACAACAACACTGCCATTTGGTACCATTGTGGTGATAGTTCTCATATGGACTCTTGTCACATCACCTTTGCTAGTATTGGGTGGTATCACAGGAAAGAATAGCAAAGCTGAGTTTCAAGCTCCTGTTCACACAACAAAATATCCTAGAGAGATCCCGTCATTGCCTTGGTATCATGGAGCACTTCCTCAGATGGCAATGGCTGGGTTTATACCTTTCAGTGCAATCTATATAAAGTTTTAAACAAGTTATCCGTGAGTTGAATTTTAACACATGATGGGTAACACATGTATTCTTGCAAAATACAAATTAATGATGGTGTTTTCAGGCTTGTTTCTTTTGGTTTGGAAACAAACTGTTGCATCTGGGATTTAGCAGATGGTAGGGTTAATAGAGAAAAAGCAGGGAAAGGAAGACCACTTAACAAAAAGCAACGAGAGGGTAGTTGAACACACCCTTCGATTCCTTATGCTTAGTCTGGTTATATTTTGAAATTTGAACATTTACTCATACATCTTTGTACAAAACCATAAAAGCATCTTTGTACAAAGCCATAAAAGAGCTCCCTATTACATTGTAGTGGATAGATTTATTACCACAATAAGTAGGACTATCTTCATTTTTCATATTTGGTTCTCCCTTTTATCTTTCTAAGTATGACTATTGACAATTGTGGTTTATGTTATGTATTTTTGTAAATTGCCTCTTTTCCGATTGATAATTTGTTGTTACACAATGAAGAGCAGAGGAAAAATAATAGGTATGAAGAATTTTTTCACTGCTTAATCAGTAATCCTTTTTTTGGTTTAAGATCTAATATGATGATCTTTTTCTTTATTTATGAGAATTTGTAACAGAAATGACAAAGGATGATGCTTTTCCGGTGGAGATATATTGAGCATAATAGCTTTGCTGGGTAGTGCGGATCTTGTAAGTACTGAACACTAACCATTCGACCATGAATCTAGCTTTGCAGTAAGGTAATGTTTTGTATTTCATATAGTACTGCTTGTTTTCCCTAAATACATAGTAAAATTACAACAACCATAGACATAGCTCTATTATGAGTGAACCACATAAATATTTGTGTTCTTGTGTGCTTAATTTCCTTTCTTGTGTTATTGTTGTTTGTGTTTTGCCTCTCACCGATTCTGGTTAGGCATATCGATTCCTGACAAGTTCATGTGTTTGCAAATCTATGGATGGTGCAAGTTTAATTCCTCTTGTTCAGTAAAACCAGTCATCTTGTGCACAAGATGAACATGACATCCTACTATGCAAGGTATGGCTTCTCCATTGAACCTAACATTCTTTCATCTTTTAAAATTGGTAGTTCAATAATAAAAAGATTTCTTGAGAAGAAGCTATCTGAGATGCTGTGCTTGAGCTTTGAGCTGATATACCATAAACTGAAATTTGATTGTTTGGTTTAATCCATTCTTGGATCTCCTAGACATTTGAAGAACTTTTCTCATAACTCTACATGTTTATTTTGTTCACCGCATCACCTGACCACTGTTACTTCATTCAAGCCTATCCACAACATTATGTTTCCTTTTCATTTTATTTTCTGCTGATTTGTCCATCAATATTTGATTTTTTTTTTTTAAAAAAGGCAAATTATAAACACTTGGTGAAACATTTTTTTTATTGAATAAACCTCAAGCAATTATACCTTTCTTTGATATCTTCACTGTTGTATCTTTGTTGACATTGACATTGACATTGACATGGGCTTTTGTTGAAAATATTAGATGTGTTCACATATAATGCTGAAGTATATTGAAGCTTTGCAAGTATATGATGTTTGTTCTTGAGATTCATTTGTATTTTGCAGGAATACATGTGTTACCCATCATCTAACTAGTCAAATTCAACTCAGTATTAATTTGTAGTTTAAATTGTTATCCGTGTTGCTTTATCATCAAGGATCACGTCAACTCTTTGAAGTTTTGGATCGTTATATGCATTTCTACTAAATTAGTTTATAAAATAAAATTATTTATATGAGTTTAGATGTAATTCATAATATATTAATGTTTTCCTTGTTTATTTTCTTTGCTGATTGGTTTTTGATGACGTTTGGAAGTAGACTTGCAAATCAAAGATCAAGTGTTGAATTTTTTTTTCCTGAACTAATACTTAGTTCTAGTTTTAAACCTAGTTGAGTGCTATTTTATTTTTTTGTGGACTTAACGTTAGTTCATTTTGGAATTTTCTATGATGGTTTTTTTATTATGAAATTTGTTTGGATGGATATATTTTCATCTATAATATAAATTGTTTACTGAATTTTTTTGTCGAGTAGTGTATAATAGCTAGTGGATTTCTTAGTACTTTTAAAAGGCTATTGGGATATGAGTAGGGATATTTGTGAAATAATAATTTAAAATGAAATATAAAATATGGAACAAGTTTAGTGACGATTTTTTTGTCATTTGTACTTTTTATAATGACAAAGTGATTATTTGCCGCTAATAAATATTTTTTGTGACAAAATTTATTACAGTTTATATATGAAATTTTTTCTTGATTTTGTTGTTTGGCGACTAAAAATTTCGTCACATATATATAGTTTTGCCACGAAATATATTTCGTCACCCATGTATGACGTTTGGAGGCGAAAAATTTCATCAACTTTACATCTTACTGTGACGAAAGTATTTCCTCATCAATGATCAACATGTGTGACGAATTTATTCGTCAACTAAAGTTATAAATATGGTACTGAATAACTATTTGGTGACGAAAATGAGGATTTTTGGTGACAAAATATTGTTTTATTGGTGACAAAAAATTTCGTCATTGAAGTAATTTCATTGGTGATGAAATTATTTTTCGTCGCGATGCTTTTTAGTGACAAACATTCAATGACGAAGTCATTTCCTCACAAATATCTATAGTGACGAAATTAGCTCTTTAGAGACAAAAAAATTGGTCATTTAAGACCCAACTTCTTGTAGTATATTATATACGTTTTTTTTTCTCGCTCTTTTTGGTTTTGATTCTACTTTCTACTACCATATGTCATTTGCCTATCCTTGGTTAGAAAAATCCTTCACTCTTGTTAGTTTACTTTCATCTAAATTTTTGTGGAACCTGCATGTCATCCATAAAAATTTTATTTCGTTGCTCCAATAGTGCACTAACATGCCACCTTAACTTAGTGTTTCCACGATGATTTCTTACCAAGAATGTTAACCCCTTGGATCATATATTTAAATTGCTCTTCTGGTGAGTTGTGTTCCTTTTATATGATGACTTTGAGAAGCCTTTGAATCTTTGTGGGAGTGTTTTGTAAATTTATCTCAATAGTATATTTATATTTGTCAATGACAAGGAGATTTCAGGCAAGGATGTGGGACGAGTCTTCCCAGTATGGAACATCGATGACGCAAGAGGAAATATCAAGATACACCAAGGATCCTCTAGAGTGAAATTTTTCTAAAGTTCCCTAGAGTGTTATATTGTATGGTTCAGATTTACTGGTAAGTCACATCAGAAAAATTGATGTGACTTGCCAGTAAATCTCAACCACACAATGTAGCACTCTAAGAAACTTTAGGAAAAAATCACTCTAGAGGATCCTTGCTCATCAAGATAGGTTCTTGGGAAGAAGGGATATTTAAGAGGATTTGGGGTCAGTCCAAAACTCTCTTCCTTGAATTATGGATCAAATGCTATAGCACAATGAGAAGCGGAGATGTAAAGACTTTAGATCCGAGGTGGAGATCACTTTTGGCATGAAACATATTACTAGTGGATATTTCTTATTAGTGTACGGAGGACATGATTTTTGTATGATTCTCTATTTGTATGGAATTATTATTTTAGGTTGGATTATATTTAGTTTGTATGGAATTTGGCATTAAAAGACCAAATTTTTGGATGGTTGAAAGTGAAATAGAAACAGGTATATGTATTATTTTGTTTATATACATGTTGCAGGTTGCATGAAATAAATACATGTTGTGGAGAAATTAATAATAATAATAATAAAAACACACTAAATAAAGTTTTTGACGACTAAAAGTTTAGTAGCTAAAAAAAAAAAGTGAACTTCTTGGCGACCAACCAATTGGTAGCCAAAAAGGAAATCATTATTTATAGCTACTAAATATTTGTTAGCTAGAAAGAAACCAAAGATTTTTGACGACTAAAAATTTAATAGCCAAAAATATATAAGACTTTAGGCGACTAAATAATTTAGTAGCTAAAAAAAATAAGATGAAAATAATTTCTTTTGGCGACTAAATATTTAGTAGCCAAAAATAAATGAGACTTTAGGTGACTAAATAGTTTAGTAGCTAAAAAAAAAGATGAAAAATAATTTTTTTGGCGATTAAATATTTAGTAGCAAAAACTAAATGAGACTTTGGGGTAACTACATAGTTAGTAGAAAAAAATAAAATAAAATGAAAAAAAAAATTGGCGACTAAATATAGTAATATTGTGACTAAAACTTATCCAGGACTAAAACTTTTAGTCGCTGAAAACTAAAATTCATTTTATTTCAAAACTTTTGGCGACTAAATATTTAATTGCCAATTTATGACTTTTGACAACTAAAAACATTTAGTCGCCAATACCTTTCCTGACAATTAGTCAACGACCAATCTGGTGACCAAAATATTTAGTTGTTAAAAACTTTCGGCGACTACAACTTGACCTTTGGCGACTTTTAATCGCTAAAATTGTCATTTTTTTGCAGTGATATCAAAAGTCAAAAAGTGCATTTAAAGGAATTAAACAATTTGGAGCATATTTAAAACAAGAAAAAAGAAAAAATTATGGACAAGTTTTAGTCCCAAAAAGATAGTAATTTATTACTGATTGTTTAATTTTGTAGTTAAAAATACAACACTTTTTGCAACGAAAAATATTTTGATTTTAAAATGTGATTTTGTCTCTAATTTTTTTTCTCTCTAAAACTTCAATTTGGTTTAGTGGTCATAATATAATCATATTTGTTTGGAAATTATTTTTAAATGACATATCTCGTAATATGCATTTTTTTTTTATTGTTTGGTGTTGTATTGGGTTATCTTTTGTGATTTTGGTTATGAATTAATAGTGTGTGGTTATGATTCATCGTGCTACTATTTTTTTTTTTTTTTTGGGGGTTTAACTGTGTCAGTTATGATTATTATGACCTAGTTTAATTATTATTCTAGTTATTACTAAAGTAGTTTTTATTTATGTTTCACATAATGTTTAGTTATTATACATTGTGGACTCTTTAATTTTAATTAAAAGTTGTTTAATTATAAAAAAAAGGGGGTTTTTTTTTAAGGTCCTTGGCATTATGATTTTATAGCATAAAGGGCACTCAATATTTTCATAATGTCTAAGGTCCCTCAACATCAATTCAGAGAAAATTCAATCCAGAGAATTTCTCTGGACACGTTACGGAGAAAATTTCAAATTTCTCCGAGTTTTTGTGAATTTCTCTAGACTAGAAGGGAATTTTCATTGACTTTTTGTGAATTTCTCTGTGTTGGAAGGTAATTTCTCTGGACTGAGAGAATTTCTCTGGGGCAGTTTATCAAATCAATAGAACAGCAGATTCAACTCTACCTATTTTGTCAGAGAGAAAATCTCAACAGAGAAATTCTAGGAAGAATTTCTCTGAATTTTTTAGAGAAATATTGAAAATTTCTCTGACCTTCCCCTATCCTTCCCACTCTCCAGAGAAATTTTAAATTTCTCTGGCCTTCTCTCTCTCCAGAGAAATTCCCCCTTCTATTTACACAATAATCACAGATACAAACCAAAGAAATTTAGTCCATCGCCAAGATAAGAAGAAGATTACATACCATTAATAATGTGTCTTTTTTAGAAGCAGCTGGTGTTGAAAGGTGATTTAGTGAAGTCATAAAACACAGAGATCATTGGTTGGTTAAGGTTTCTTCTACGATTGATGAGAAAAAGATTGTCTTCAGCCATGAATAAAGTCCAAGCTATACTGAAAAGGTTACGATACCCAACAGCTTTTCCACCGATGAATGTGTAGTTCCCTTTATACTTGCTCACGTACTCCTCGGTAGGTTTCAACCTCGCTGCAAACTCATAGTCAACTGCAAAAATCACAGACCCTTTCTCTTGCATTCCCAAGAACAACCCAAAGCAATGGACCGAACTGTGTTGGTTCATATTGCAGTTGGCAGAAAGGAAAAAACCTTGCCCACCAAGATGGATTCGCTTGTGAGTAAACCCCACCAGATGGAAACAGATGCACACACTCTTCTCGGCGAACATGCCTAGGACGAACCCACTGTTGGAAGTGTTGGGCTTCGAGGCACTTCGCACAAGAATCTCCGCCGAAAATAGACCATTTTGTCTCCTCCACTCCCAGAAGATCAAACGGCTGAGATTGGATAGAGAGAAGACGGAGAAGTTGCTGAGAGAGAGGCATTTGGTGATGGAGACGAATTTGAAGGAGATGGTAAAGAGAGGTGAGGTCTAGAAGCTGCTTGAGATCGAGGTCGATAGGTTGTTTCGGTTGAAGGAACTCAAATCTTCGTGTATGGTAAGAAAATGTCTGTTTGGTTACTCGGAAAATGCAAGCTTTGCTGAAGAAAAAGGTTGAGTTTGGGGATTTGGAGGAGTGGAAGAGAGCAACGAGAGACACAGAGCGTGAGATATATATCAAATTTCTCTGTGATAGATGGGAGGGACTTTAGGCATCAAAAAATAATATTGTAGACCTCTTCCATTACTAAAAATGGAAGAGGAACTTTAGACTAATTTCCCCCCCCAAAAAAAGGGCAATATCAAGGACACAAAATATATATGGTACATGCAAATTATAAATAAAAAAGTGGTTGAATGTCCCATTTTTTTCCTTATTATTATTTTATTTTTATGGTGAACCCATTTGTAAATAGCTTACCATAATTCGTAACTCATAAAATCCCCCAAGCAAAAAAAAAAAGAAAAAAAAAGAAAAAAAAAAATCCCTAATTTTCATTACGATAGCGATGTGTATAAAATTAACAACAATGATAGAGACCACTAATTTTGGAGCTCTAAAAAGACCACTAATGACATGGCACTCAATAAAAAAAGAAAAAAAATACAACACCAAGACCAAAACATCAAATCATTCTTGGTGGGACCTACTGCCACATCATTAGTGATAGCACTAATTAGTGCTCTCACTCATTTTCTATATAATTAATAGTAACCTTATCCTAACATTTATAAAAATATTGACCTTTTTGCCTAACATTTATAAAATTATTTAATTTTCACTCAACTTCTATAAATTTGCCCTTCTCCCCAACAAGAAGTGCGCCATACAATCCATTTCTTCTCTTCTCTCTCTCTCTCTCTCTCTCCTCTCTCTAAAATTAAGAAAGGAAAGAGATAAAAGAAGAAATGGATGCTAAAGGAGAGTTCAAGGTGAAGGTGAGCAAGAAGGAGGTAGTGGCTGCAGTGTTGCCAATGCAAGAGCATTGGTTGCCTCAGTCCAACCTAGACTTGCTCTTGCCTCCTTTGGACGTGGGTGTGTTTTTCTGTTACAACAGGCCCACCACCGGCTCATCTCTCACATTTGGGTCCATGGTCGGTGTTCTCAAGAAGGCCATGGCTCAAGCTTTAGTATCATACTATGCATTTGCAGGGGAGATGGTGGAGAACAGTGTGGGTGAACCTGAGCTTCTTTGCAACAACCGTGGAGTAGACTTCATTGAAGCTTTTGCCGGTGTCAAGCTTCAAGATCTCAACTTATACAATCCTGATGAGACTATTGAAGGTAAGTTGGTGCCTAAGAAGATGCGAGGTGTGCTCTGTGTTCAGGTATTTTGATCTTTCCTTCAACTCCTATATGTTGACCATGAAAATACCATGCTGGTGACATATTCGTTGGCTTTTAGCCACTTTTTTTGGTTCGTTGAAAGAAAGCAGTAATTATTATTATTATTATTATTATTATTATTATTATTATTATTATTATTATTATTATTGTTTTGATTTAGAATAAAAAAAAAATAATTTAAGAAAAATGTCAAATGAGTAGTACCAGAAAGAGAAAATTTATACCTCTTTTAGATCATTTCATTTTAATATCAAAAGCCCATCAGATGTTTCTTTAGTAACTTTTATATAACAATTCTACTTGTAAATCGTTTCCTTGAGCATCAATTACATCGTAAATTATTACTTTCAAATATAGAAAAACCATATTTGTGTATTGAATCTAGATTCTTTTCATTTTATAGTCGTAACCAAAATTTTTCATTATATATTCAATACCTATAAAATAGGAATGGGAATTTATCATTATTTAAATTTAACAAAATTATTATACTTGAGTTAATTTTTTTCACAATTGTTAAATGATATAATAAATATCTTACATTACAACTATGTAATAGAGAGACTTGCAATTGTATATTAAAAATACTGGCCTCC